AAACTTTGAAGACAGTTCATGGTAAAAAAATTAAAAATAAAAAGACGTTTTGACAGTTAGAGATGAAACAATATAATATACATAATGAAAGAGTTATATTGTAGTGGTACTAATCAGTCAACCAAGTGTCATATAAATAAAAGCAAATGGTTTAGTGACCTCTTTAATTCACTCACTACCAGAAATAACCACTCTGTTCATATCTGTTTTAAAGTTATCTATTAATCTCCGTAGCCAACTAGCCATCATTAAGTTAACAACTTTGACCTCCAAAACCAACCCTAAAAAAACTTATCTAAGAGAAAAGAAATTCAGGTTCTACAAAGTTGTTTAGAAAGTTGAAAATGAATGAGCGAGCACAAAAATACTACAAAAACAATAACAAGATTTTATCCCACTACATTGGGTTAGTTACATTAATCCATTTCTCTATTGTATCCTTTTAAGAGTCAAATTCTCATTTAAATTTAATAAAAAAAGGACTATTTTCTAAGCAAGTCTTTTTAAATCTACCTCTACTTTTCTTAACATAGGCTGGTTCTAATCAAAGTTTAAAATTACATAATTGGGTATTGAGACGTTTTTTGTTCATGAGGTGAGACGTAAGCCTCAAAATCCAAAAAATTGCGTAAAATAATAATAAATGTCAAAAGTAATTTTTTATATAATACCTAAATAATAAGTTAAATTATGATATATTAACTGTAAAGAAACATGACGATAGCACAAGGATAGGAAAGCTTGGATGAATGTTCAAGTTATCATTCTAGGCTTAGTTAGATCAGCATATAAGGCCTTGAAGTTCATGTTAAGTGAGGTCGGACAGGAATCCAAATCGCATACTGGTAATCAAACTAAGTATGTTATGAATGAAACTAATGACCTTATAAGCAATTCATTTGCATAGAATAATGTTTCCAAACAAATTTGACTTTTGATTACAAGCCAAAGGAGTCATTGAAACTTCTATTCCTCTATTTCAAAAATAATAAACCAACTTTAATAAGCATGTAGCATAATGAGGCTAGCTCATTTATGGTTGATGTTCCTAAAAGACTTCTCACTACCAAAAAATATTATAGGAAAGTCACTGAACTTGAAAGATCTTTGATTTTTAAATAAGAATTCCTAAAGCACTGTCAAAGGAATATGTTATCATTTGCTTCTTTTGAATTTGAGCAAATAAGCAAATAACCACGGTTATTGATCTAAAAAGAAATCTAACACTGAAAGCATCTTTTCTCTAAGGGTTCACTGAAAGCCAAAAAAACATGTAGATACTAGAAATGATCAAATTTAAAAAGAACAAAAGTAACCATGAGCAAATTTTTCCGGCCATACCTGACCCATGTCAGCAAGCAGTAAATCACCTTCTACTTCCCGCTCCAACGCAACATCTAAGGGCAATTTTAATGTCAATAACCAAAAATAATAATCAAGGGAAAGCAACATCTAAAATGCCCACATTTATAGGGTGCAATTAGCTTACCTAACATCGATTGAGAGATATCAAAGCCAATCCAATGGTGCTCATTTTCAGATAAAGTTTCACCGCTAAGCCCAGATCCACAGCCTAGTAACAACAGGCAATATGAGAAACAAGCTATCATCTGAATAAAAGCATTCGTATTAAATATCCACAAAATCACATCAACTAGTTGAGAGATTTTTCCATCAAAATCAAGTTAAAAAAAAAATAAAAAAAATCTGCTATGTTGATGTTGTTACATCTGGCTATTAGATTGATAAATGATCAAAATATAAGAACCATAAACACATGACCGCCTTCATTAATAAGAAGAAACTTTTTTGAATGAAATTTCAGGGTTTTTTTGATATCACCTCGGATTTGATTTAAGTAGGATTTTGTAAATCCTCTAAATACAGAATTCGGAAATCCAGAGGGGCTTAAAACCCAAAAATTGTTTAGTAACATTCATGATAAATCCTTTTAAAACTTATGTGACTATTTGGGATTTACCAAACTGGCACTTCCTCTGGAGCCATGGATTTCTTAAATCCGGCAAAATAAATGATTTTGGAAATTCTGAATTTAGAGCGAATCGGCGGAATTTTCCGTCCACAACGGATTTTGTTAGCCTTGAGATTTGGTTTTGCATTTCAGGCCGTTTGGCTGGATTTCGCTCAAATCCGGCCTAAATCCTGCTACCAAACAGCCCCTCAAGCTAACAACCAACAACTAAATAAATAATAATGTACATGAGGAAGAAAATCAATGAAAAAGCGAAACTTAACCTATATCAAGCAAAAGACGTGGAACTCCATCGTTTGGAATATTGAGCAGTTCTAGTGCTCTCTCCGAAATCTTAGCCTAACATGAAACATGAATACAACATTGAGAACTCAAAACATCTTTTAAAAAAAAAGCAAACAAAAAACATGAAAAAAGGAAGATTCTACCTGGATTTCAATGATTCTGGAGGAAGTCGTGTACTTGCGAGCCTCGGTGTCGTTGTAGAATATCTCTGGCGGCGCTTGCAACTCCGGTCGGGGCATCTCGCTCTTCCTTATTCCACTAAAAACGAAAAATATATGTATATCTTTATGGACTGTTCGGTAGCAAGATTTAACCTAAATCCTGGCAAACATAAAAAAAAGGGATTTTTACATACATACCACTTTATAACATATGTATTACATTTGACAACTTTAGGGGCAGTTTGGCAACATGATTTATGCAGGATTTCAGCAGGATTTATGCTAAATCCTGCCCAACTGGATTTGAGCGGCGGAATAAATCCTGTTGCCAAACTGCCACCGTAAATCTCACGGCGGAATAAATCCTCCGTTTCCCTCTTTTTTCCGTAAATCCCGGATTTACTAAATCCTCTAGAGATCGACGGATTTACGGTATTTGGCCGAAGAAGCCCGCGAAAAGGAGAAAGTTACCTTCACAGCCAGCGAGCTCCCGTCGTTGCTTCCGATCAAAATGTAGTAACTTCCGCTCCGACAGGAAGGGAAAGCTGTCGAAGGAGCAAAGTTGCCGAAGAAGCGACTAGTGCAATCTCTACACCTCCTGTGAAGTAACGAAGCCGAACCGTAACAGAAGGGAAGATGATAGGCAAGCCCTAAACCCCTCTAAGTTAATATTGATTAACTTATTATATATATACATATAATAATTAAGTAAATTAATTAAAAATAATAATATTATAATTATTAAAATTATTTAAATAATTAATATAATGAATAATTAAAATTAATTTAATAATACTTTAGAATTAATTCAATTATTAATATGAATATTAGTTTTTTTTTATAATAATAGGGCTATTAATATGAGTATTAGTTAAATAATTAGTTATTTAAAAAAATTAACTGATATATCATCCAAAAATTATGTTGATCGGACATGAATATGGAGGCAAAATCAAGATTGGAAACTTCAATAAATAATTAGTTATTTAAAAAAATTAACTGATATATCATCCAAAAATTATGTTGATCGGGCACAAATATGGAAGCAAAATCAAGATTGGAAACTTCAAAAATTAAATTGGAGATCATCTCAACTCCGATTTCAGTAAACTTATAGTTGAGCTTAAGGTCTCGAAAATACAAACCCAACGACACTAAATTCGACCCAATTTGAGCTCAAATGGGTCCAAATCAAAGACCCGAAGCGCATTTTGAAGGCTTGATACATAATTTGGATTACTAAACAGTTTCTAAATGTGGTGTGCTTATATTTGAATCGAGCGGCTTTACAAGATGAATCCAACGAGCTCAAAATCGTTGAATTCTGATATAATTAAAACACTCAAATGCTCAATAAACGGTCAATGATTAAAGGATTCAACATCGGTCATCCATTTGAACCACTACAAATTTATCATTCATCTTTCTTTTATTTACTGCTCATGTCACTCTCAAAAAACTATGAATAGACCCCTTAATTCTCATGGAGGAGGGGTGGAGCTCAAGCAGAAAGAGGAAGAAGAGTTATGTTACCACCAAACTTCTCCTCGACCACCTCCCTGCAACTGACCAACGTTAGACTTCTACCCTGTCGTTGAATTTCTACTCGACGTCGGACTTCCGCCAGTCGTCGAACTTCTACCAGACAACGGACTTCTACCTGTCATCGGTCTCCTACCCGACACCGGATTTCTACTCGACGCCGGACTCTTACCCGTAGTCAAACTTTCGTCGGACTTTTACACGACGTCGAACTTCCACCCGTCGTCGGACTCATGTCAGACTTCTACCCAATGCCGAACTTTTGCCCGTCACCAGATTTTTACCCAGGACCAGACTTTCACTTGTCAACAGTCCTTCCAACCTCCTTCACCAAACAATATTCTTCCTAACTATCGTTACCCCTTGACTATGATTCTTCTGACCTCTGTTGCTCGCCGACTATGATCGTTCCAACCTCTGTCGCTCGCCGACTACGGTCCTTCTACCCTCTGTCGCTAGACAACGGTCATTCCGACCTTCGTTAGTCGCCGATTACGATCCTTTCAACCTCCAACACCTGCCGATTACAGTCCTTATAACATCATAACCAGTTAAATGTTCTTTCTGACCTCTGTCGCCTATTAACTATGGTCTTTCCAACCAAACGAACACATAAACAGTGATTATTCATGTTTTCACCATATAACATACTATGTATGATGTATATTTGTTACATCAAGCTAAGGCCTTGCCCCCGATGAAGAGTCTCATTTGCAATCAACTGCAAATACTAGTGGATTCATTCAAACTGAGCTAGGCTCCGTGATTTTTCACCATTTTCAGAGGTGTTCCACGTAAAAATATTGGTGTTTCTTATAAATACTGCACCATTTCTCTTATCTAATTGTGTGCTGGATCTTTGTACAAAGCTAAGACGTTAAACTTTATATTTCTCTGCCAACTTGAAAATTCTAGAACGCAATGCAACTAATTAATTAGATACTTATTAATATAATTAAATATCAAATACATATTAGATTAACACATAAACAAGTAATTTAATAAATAATATTATAATTTTTTTTAGCTTTTGTTGCCTATTTTATTATTCTTCATATATATATGATGGATATAGGTTAGCTACTTTGATGGATTCATATTGTAAATAACAACCGTTCTATTTATTATTACAAATTATATAATCTTTATCTAGGAATGCCTCAAGCCCTTCTCAACTCAATAACCTTATGACATAATTAATGTAAATAAATTAAGAAAATATGATTATAACTAATCAAAATGTTTATTTTCCAAAAACTAAGGTTGTTTTTTTTTTTAATAAATATTGTAAATTTGAATCTAATTTATTATTAATTAAAAAAACTTCAAATTTAGCAAATGAATCAAAGTATTAATTCAATCTTTAACTCCATTAATGAAGGAGCTTGATAAATACAAAAATTCTCTTTAATTGTCGACTTTTTAAAGGATGAGATTTTCTTCAATTCATGAAAACTAAATAAAATGACATAAAATTAAATTAATTCAATAAATTGAGTACTCTTCAATTTGATATATTTTGTGAATATTTTGTTTTTAATTTTGATCAAGTTAGAAATACATTTTATTAAAAAATTATCTACTTTTTAACAATAAGGTAAATACTACCATTGATAAAGTTATATTTTTCTCATTAGGTGCAAACTATGACTTGAAAAGCTATGTTTCATATGTAATTTAATTAAAAAAATATAACAGTTAACAGTAGGGGCATTTTAATCTAACTCATAATTTTGGACATTTTTAAATATTTTTTAACCAAATATTTTTAAATTTATCTCTACTTTATTTTAAGGTTGGCTTGATCTAATACATCAACTCTCCTAAAAGGGAATAAATTATTCTGTGCAGAGGCAAGACGCAACTCTACGTCCAAAGGCAAAGCAATTGCATCCACATCACTGGAACTGAGCCACGTAATCGAACAATACCGAGCGAAGGAGTGACATGACACATTCTGGTTGGTCTCTAGACAGCATTCAACATCCGCACAAAATAATTTTTCCTAGATGAGTCATCAAAAAGCTGATACATTTATGTGACAAAATCAATTGACATAATTCTCTCTAATCTTATCTGCCAATGAAGCTACTAGTGATGAAAAAAATATAAAACTCATAAAGACCAGTATAAAGTGCCTCACTCATTAAAATCATTCCTTCAGCTCTAGAAATGATAGGGCAGCTTATGCTGGCACATGCAATGAAAGACAATTTTTTATGAAATCAAAAAAAAAAAAAAAAAAATCATGTTTATAAAAAAAAAAAAAAAAAAAAAAAAAAATCATGCTCAGCTCACTCACTACTCTGCTATCATGCATCATAGAACAGTTGAGTAAGCTTTTAAGAAAAAGCAAATGGTCCAGAATACTGAGCTCTAAATATCGCTCTGCTAAGAAGGGACAATGGAAAAATCCATTATAATTGCCTCATTCAGGCTTCCAGTGCTGCAAACCATTAAAAAGAATCTACTTTCTCAGAACAAAAACAGTAAGAAAATGTCTCAAATCTCAAAATAGGAGCCACATAAGCAAAGCAAGCTCAAAAAAGAAAAAAATATCTTATCATCACAATGAACAACAGAAATTCAAATTTGACAGCAGCCAAAGATGTCTTCTTAAGAAGATGATTCATAAAGTAGGAGAAACTAGCAAATAAAACCTAATCAAAAAGGGAGAAACCCATATCATCGTCACTCTCTTCCTTCTCTTCTTTCTTTTCCTCAGCAGGAGGCGCCTCAGGAGCTGCAGCAGCACCCCCACCACTGGCAGCTCCACCACCCGAAGCACCACCACCACCAATGAATGCACCACCGCCGCCACCACCACCAATTATAACCTGTAATGCAAATCAATGAACATCACCGGACATATATCGGTATGAAGATTGACAGGTTGAACTGATGCAACTTATTGCCTGCTGGATCTAAAAGGCGAACAACTTATTAATATAATAAGGTCTTCATTTAGTTTTTAGTGAGTGGAACAAGAGAATTCTACTTTGACATGAAGATTGGAAGTTTAGAAAGCTATACTGTTATTCAAACCCAACCCCTAAGAAACACTTCCAGTATATAGAAGAGTTCAAAGCGCCATAAAAGAACATAATAAGCAGTACAGGTTCATAATTCTTAATACATCAGGTTTATGTGCTGCAACTAAGGCAACTTATCACCTACCAGATCTTAAGGTCTAGAAATTTCTTTAAAATAACAAGGTCTTCATCCAACTTCAGTGAGTGGAAAAAGAGAATTCTAGTTTGGCATGAAGTTTGGAAGGTTAGAAAACTATATTGTTATTCAAACGCAGCTCCTACGAAACACTTCTAATATGTAAGAGAGAGTTCTAAGTGTTGAATACACAACATAAATGAATGTAATAAGCACTAAGCAGCACAATAGAATAGGTTCATAGTTTCCAATACATCAGGATTATGTGCTACATCTAAGGCAACTTATAGCCTGCCAGATCTTAAAGGCTATAAATCTTTAAAATAATAAGATCTTCATTCAACTTCAGTGGTGGAACAAAAGAATTCTCCTTTGACATGAAGATTGGCAGATTAGAAAGCTATATAGTTATTCAAGTCCAGCTCTTAAGAAAAACTACAAATACATACACTGATAAAAGAAAGATGGAAGTGTTGAGCAAACAATAGAAAATACTTTAACAATCAATATATGTTCATATTTCCGAACATATCAGGACTTTGTTGTACAACTAATTAGGCAACTTATCACATACCAGATCCTAAAGGAAAACAATTTTTAGGATCACAATAACTTAACAAGAGAATTATATTTTGACATTAAAATTGGCAGGTCAGAAAGCTACATTGTTTTCCAGAAAAAGCACCTAAAAATTACTTTAATATGTAGGAGAGAACCGGAATTCAAAACTGTAAAGTTTAACAAAATTTAAGAATTTAAATGCAGGAAACAATTATCACCATAATCACCATTGATTGCCTAGATCTAAACGCACCCCTTTGACAAAACTATCATTGCATTTCACTCTCGTATCAATAAGTACAGTTCAATTGTTAATCTATTGTTTCTTTGATAAATCCACACATAACCCGCTCACAATACAAAAACAAAAGAATACTTCCACCTTCATAAATTTATTTTCTCTAAAAAATACCCAATACAACAACCAATCTCGACTGTTTGAACGCATCTTTAAACTAAATGTTACCAAAAAAGCTTATTCAGTATCCTTGGATCTCCAGATTTCATAAAATCCAAATTCAGATAGGGTTTTCTAAATTCTGTCCACGATAAATTATAGTAATTTGTAATCCTCAAAGTCCTAAATACAGCCAAAAAATATATTTGCTAAAGCCATACTTAGATGATTTAATAAATCCTAAACGGATTAAAGCAGTCCAAATACCCGTGCTCCCTTAGCTTGAATTCGACAATCAAAGAAAATCTGCCACAAAATCATCCAAAAACAACCACGAAACTGGACGAAAAAGCATTCTAACAAAACGAACAACAACAAGCTTTTATCCCACTACGTGGTTCGGTTACATGAATCCTATTTCTCCATAACAAAACGAAAAAAACAAAGGCCTAAAACCCAAGAAAAATTCTCCTCCCAGAAAGAGATCAATAGGACAGCTAAAAAAGAGAAAGTTAGAGATTGAAATAGACAAGATCTGCGACCTGGAAAACAGCGGACGAAGGCGTGACAAATGAGAAGGAGGACTGCACGCCGCCGGACGAGTCGACAGCCGCTGCAGCCCGCACGAGATTCCGCTGGAGATCGTATGTCGACGAAGCCTCGCCTTCGAGATCACCAGTAGTCTGCTTCGCGCTCCATACGCCGCCCGAGTTTCTGCAAACGAAAGTGTACACACCCATCCTCTCTGACGCTGAGATTGGATGCCGCCGCCCAGTTGCAAAACCCTAATCGAGGATAGGAGCTCGAATCAATTTATAGTGGTGAGACTGAATTGCTCCTATTACAATTAGTGTTGGAGGCCCTATAACCTCCGACCGGCCCTATAACCTCCGACCGGCCCGTGTCAAAAAATGAGAAATTTGTGATGATCAAATACCGAGTTATACCGAGTTATATAAAAGTTGTATCGAGTTTTTCTTAGAAAAAACTCGATACAGCTCGATATTGCTCGGTATAACTCGGTATTGATCTTCACAGAGCGGTATTCCTCGTTATTATCAAATAATACATAGTAATACCGAGCAAATACTGAATTTTTTGACGGAATTTTGCCTCGGACTAAACATTCCTCTACATCCATACACAGGACCTAATAAAAGTTCCTATTAACCAACCCCCAAAATATTGAATATTTAAAAAATTAATACTTAACTTTCTACATTAATAATAAAAGAGAATTTTTAATTTATATGCCTTGTTATGCTCTAAATTGAAGAAGTTTATCTTTATTTTATATTATAAAAAAATATGCTAGAACATTTTTGAGATCCAATATATTATATTTAAATTTCATTTGGGATAACTTTTTTCTTACTTGTTAAAGTAGAATTAAAAAAAAAAATTATTTTTTTTACTAAAAAATTGATTTAAAAAACAATAAGAAAGTCATCCCAAATGATACCTTAGACTCATATTTAACAGTAAGGAACGAAATGTCATGCCCTTTTTATCTTGACTTTCTTCATACGTTGATGTTGTCATCGTATCTTGATTTAGAGTTTCATTTAACTTTCTTCGCTCAAGAGAGATCATGCCGGTGAAGTTAGAGATTATTTCTTCATTTATTATAGACTGCATACATGGATATTTTTTAAAGTTTTCACAGCGTATGATTGATTATATCATTTTAACAAAAATATAATGTAGATATGGATAATCAAATATATTAGTTAAAATATATGCACAAATTATGTTCCAATCTTATTCAAACCAAGATCAAATATGATTCAAGATGTCAAATATTGTGTTTGATCTTTGATTTGAATGTTTGAACAAAATTCAATTAATTTCAATACAAATTCGAAGAATAGTGAAATTATAAATTGTTGAAGTATTTTAATCGGTAAATTATGCATCAATATTCTTATATTAAATGGAGGAAAATGGAAGTATTGCTTGGAAGACGAATATATATTCTTCGAAAAAAGCGCAAATGATTGAAGTTATAGAGAAATATTTTCTTTAGCGATCTTTTTATTCAAAGTGATTGATGCTAATAAGAGATATTTCAAATTGAAATTAGAGGTGATATATCACTTTAATAAAGCACTGCTAATTTCATCAACTAAGTTATTTAAATATAAGAAATAAATATTATATTAAGATTTGAAAAGCATTCGACTACGATCTATTTTCTTATTACATATGATCTAAACTTTAATCAATAATTGTTCTTACATTGTTCGAATGTTATTCAAATTATTTTGGGTCAAGGCTTGCTTATTATTTTGATCATTGAGGAGCTTTTGGGTATACTTCACCAAAAGTTTTATTTCTGTTAATATATATTTTAATTGATTATTTTTTATTTTTTTTTAAATTATTTTTAAAAACACTGAAAATAATTTTATATATTTTAAACATTGTTAAAACAACCAACTACCACCGCTATCACCTCACCAACTACTGATTCTATATCACCTCATAAATCAAATTATTTGATATCAAAAAATAAAAAATTGAATAAATGTAAACACTATATTTTATTTTATGTTAGAATATAAAATAAAAATAAATTTAAAAATATATTTCATTTGAAAAGCTTAAATTAACTATTACAAAAAATAATTGCATCTTAAATTAAACATATATTTCGTTTGAAACAGTATTTTTATTGTTTTCTAAAACAATTTTTTTAGCATAAAAAAATCTTAAAAATAGTGAAAAAATAATTATCCCAAACGAAACCATAATTTGATATCACCCATGAGGCTAACATCATATAATCCACTCCTAAGAAGAAAATGGCAATATATTTTATAGTTTGGAAGTCATAAATTATTTCACATAGATGATAAAAAAACATCATCAACTAACAAAAAATTATTCTGTGTGGACACCGTACCATCTAGAGGCGAATTAGAGCATGTCACATCACCTGATACAAAGTGGGTACACAGCCGCGAAACAAAGCACCTGGGTGGCATGATGCGCTCTGATTTGCCTATGGACGCGTACAGTGTCCGCACAGAATAATTTCACTAAACTAACAGTCAGTTTTATGGTTTTAAAGGCATTATCTCTTAATCTAACAATTACGTTATAATTTAGCATAAATAGGCCATTCTAAAGCTGTCCAATGGACTCCCATTACACAAATAATCAACAAATCTACTGCATGCTCTACAAGGTCTCATACAGGCAGGGGCGGAACCAGCCCTAATTTTCAGGGGGGGCAAATTTATAAGACATATATGTTGGGGTCCAAGGGGGCAGTGTCTTCTGGCGGGGTTCGACCTGTTGGGGGCAATTACCTAAAGACCATAGTATTTTAAAATTTTTAGGGGGGGCAATTGCATGAAAACCCTTGTAATAAAGACTAAAAAATGAATAAAAATGAGTAAATTACCTAAAAAACCAATATAAAAAAATTTTGAGGGGGGGCAGTTGCCCCCCCTGGAACCTATTGGGTTCCACCCATGCATACAGGCCTCTATCCACTCTATTCAGCAATGAAATGCAAAAAAGAACACATTCATTATCAGCAGCTATGAATCTTAATGCATTAAAAACAAATTCTAATAATCATTAGATCCCACAAGGATTTTGCCTGGAAGAAAACTTATCAGTCAGAACAGTAGAAACATCACAGCAATAGAAAAAAAAAAAAAAAAAAAAAAAAATTGAACTGAAAAAAAAAAAAAAAAAAAAACATAAAATTGAACTGAAAAATGCCAAAATGTATACAAAGATTCATAAAGAAATAAGACCGATAAAACATGAATAAGTTTCGAATATAAGACAGGCTCAGGTAACCCATGGGAGCAAAAAAATCCCAAAGATCAAAGTCCTCAACGGTAAATAATAAAGGGTATCAAGGTGGGAAGGAATGAGATACATAATCAGCTATGAAGATGGAGAAATACCTCATCAGAATATGAAAAATCTCCCACCTAACAACCTTCTTTTACAGTTACAATGATGCAGTTAATTTCACGAACCGCATTAGCAAAAGACAAAGGTGGTTTTGTCAGATGAGCTCATCTTCTTTGCAGCAGCAGTTCCAACAATCCTCTCGAGCTGAAAATAGGGACGTCAAAAATTCATTTTTAATGCATTGGTTGAATATAAAAATTGATTTATTGTTTAAAGAATAAAAATTCGTTGTAAATGTTTTGCTAAAATTATGTGATGCAATGCAAGAAGCCTACTTCCAATCACCATTCATGAGTAATTACTTCTTACAGTTTAGCCCTGTTTAGTTAGTCATTTCACGTATTGTATCATAGTTATAATTTTTTTGAGAACGGGGTATCCACCTATTGCCACTTCCAAATCGGCTGACCTAGAAGAGGCATTGTTAGACCGGTCCTTTGAACCGGTCCAGCCGGTCCACACGGGACCGGCCCAGGCAAATAGAGGTGGAACTTCGCCGCCTCTCTCGTGGAGTCCGATCAAGCTGCAAGTTTTTGGGAGCCGAATAGGGAAGATTTTTGGGGGCATTAAAGGGGAAATTTGAATGTAGAGACTCTTTAGGGATTTCCTTTTGATTTGTATGCACTAAATAGTTTGTTTTCCTAGGGTTAGGGCATCTTGAATTTGGCTGAAATTTGAAATCTCTTAGATTTAGGTTTTCTTTGGGCTCGGCGTCTAGAGATTCGGGAGAGATCGATCCTCCTCTCGAATTGAAGATCAACTGTATCTTGCTATTTTATGTTTCTATTTCATCAAATAATACAAATTTTCTACTATTTTCTTGGTTTTGTGTGGATTTTTGTGGAGGATTTTCGCTGTTTTTCTAAAGATTGATAGGAATTACTTGAGATCTTCAATTGTTTCCTATTAGGCACCCACCCCAGAAACCTCCTGGCCCGCACTTGATTGGGCCTCACTTAAGAGGTGTTGCTGCTCGAGGGAAATCGAGCACGGATTGGGGGTTCCCAACCATACTCGCCCATGGTGGGTCATAGTTATAATTTTTAGAAACACATTGGCAAGCCATAATTATTTGTCAGGTTGTCCTTCTCATTATCATTTAGTTAAATGTCAGGATGAACTGATCATTTGTTATTTTGGACGTGTTTAACAATAAAGATAAGATATGACAAGCTAAACACAACAAAACTGATAAAGACTGTGACTACGGAAAGATGGTGAAAGAACAGCTTTTGTGCATAAATTCCAGTTACAATTTTTTTAAAAAACATTTTCTTTAATTTTTGTGCTCAAACGATCCAAAAACTAAAACAAAACGGAAATTAAAAACCAAAATTGCCAACACCATAGAACCGTGGGAATAAGGCTTCATTTGAGACAGCTTTCTTACTGCTTTTTAAAAAAGTTTTCTAGTACAAAATTTTTAATTTTTGTACTAAAATACTGTTTTAAGAAGCAATAAAAAAATCATCCCAAACTAAGCCAAAAACTACTCATTGATCAGAAACTAAAACCAAATACGACATTCAAAAATAAAGAAAAAAAAAACAGCATAGTACCTTATTAATAGATAATGTCAAGGACACAAGAAAGATCAAATAGCTGGTTATTAAGCAAAATTTTTTTTGCCAATTTCTTATGACTATCAGAAGAGTTTTATAAAAATACAACAAAAACACTAAAGGTAGTAATAAGTATCAGCCAATATAACATACCCTGTAAAGATCAAAGCGCGAGAAAAGCACACTGCATGACATATTTTTTGATCCTTCAAGCATATTAACGATCTGTAAGTGTAAGATAAAAATTAACTGTTGTCCACGCAGATCAAACAAATAAAGGAAAGTTTAACAAAAGGATTATTAGGTAACCTCAGGATAAAACTCTTTTCTTTCAGGCAGAGAGTAGATAATCAAATTCTTTATTCCACGAATCTGCATTAAATAAAAGGAAATCAAAATATTTTAAAAAACATAAAAAAAAATATCATCAATAACAAAGCTACACTTCCACAAATGCCAAGTGTTAATTGTACGAGCATTCTTAGTTTATATTGAAGAGTTTTTATACTAAATACAGAATGACAGTCCCAAAAGGAAAGTAACATTTTGGCCCTAACAACAAATCTTGAGTCTAATCGGACTGAATGCACGTTAACGGCATCGGCAGTGAAGGAATCAGATATCAAGAAAGGCATAATAAAATAATTTATTGAGCTGCAAAAAGAACCTTATATCTGTGATAAAAATGAGCTCTTTCAGTGTAAAGCATGATTTTTCGCTTCCCTTCAAAAAACCAAAGGCGTGAACGGGATACATCACTTTGTTTAGTGTACCTAAAGATATAAAATAAAAATAAAAAAGTAAGAAAGGCACTCAAACAAGTAAATTGATCACTAGAAATAGATTTGAAAAAAATTATAATATAGTAGTCAAGAAGTTTAACCTATTTTATAAAAGCCTAAAAGATCCAACAATATACAATAAAGTCAAGCCTTTATCCCACTACGTGGGCAAAGCCTAAAAGATCCAAAAAGATGAAATTTGTCTTACTCGCCAAGCAAACAAAAAGAAGCATTCTGCGATTTTAGGAAGTTACGTATCCGCACAAATTCGAAGTAAGAACTTATAAATACCAAAGTACCACCCTGCACCCAAAAAAAAAAATCACGTAATAAGCATTGAAACGATAAGAGTAATTGTCAGAACAAATCCACAGGTCTGCAGAGTAAACATGCATAACATGCCTGTAATCACAGTAAAATCTTCTAAAAGAAAGAATATTCCAACTTAGAAAAGTGCTACTCTTAACTAATTTGTACCCATTAATTGAGTTTAAGAAGAGAATTCAACTGTCAAGGAGAGGGAATTCAAGACATGAAGGGCAAGGTGGATGACTTCACTATCTGAAGTATAATCATAAGATTAAGTGAAAAGGAAATTGTCCGCTCATCATTATAAATTCATAGTTACATTTTCGTACAATGAAAATAACTGTTCGTAGTTCTAAATATCCACTAAATCAATAAAGAAAGTATTTCTCAATGGAGGGGGAAAAGAGCCTCTATACGAGCTTTGAGAATGGAAAATAACCCTAACCATAGTAGTTATTTTAAAAAAGGCATCTGAGAATATGCAAGTCCAAGTATCAAGACCTGAAATAATGAAAATAATCCCTTTGCAAATGTAAGGGTAAGTTTGCATGCATAACCCCTCCCTAAACTTTGTATTAATGGGAGCTCCATGCTCTAGTTATGTCAGCCTGAGCAAGTGGACTTCTAAGGAATAAACGCTCTCTTAATTAAACAAATGAGAAAAACTTTTCAAACCAAGAACATGCTATCTACTTTAGAATTATATTAATTTGGACTAATTGGCCTCACCAGCATAAGTGGAAAGCAATATATAGGGGTGACAAAATGAATAGATGGGGATTAACTTATTGGATTTTTGTGAGTTAAGAATATGGGTGTAAAAAATTGACACGACCTGAAATCCGACCTAAAAAAATTTGGATTCGGGTCAACCCATTTGTGAAACGGGTTGGGTCCGGGTTCAGATTTTTGACCCGTTTGAAAAACGGGCCAGGTTCGGGTTGACCTGACAACCCACGGGTCGACCCGTTTAACCTAGATCCCACATGACCTAACCTGCTTTTGCCGCGAGGTGCGAGCTCTTGCGGGCCTGCCTAGTCGGGCTAGCGCTTAGCAATCTCGCCTCCGTCCTCTCAAGTCTCGCGATGGAGCTCCGCCGACTCAAGTCAACTACTCCGTCCGACGACTCTGCCAGTCCGCATGAATCCTTGATGACTCGACCTCGCCTTGCACAGACCCTACGTGCTCAGCCTTCGCTCAGTAGCCATTCGTCGGTTCTCCCCCAGCCCGTCGACGCCCAAGCCAACAAGCCATATGCGGCTACGCATGATGACGCAACTCAGCAACAACACCTGCGAGTTTGCGGGTCAGGTCGGGTCAACCCGGCAACCCGTGCAGGTCGGGTCCGAATTAGAAATCCTAACCCATTTAACTAAATGTGTCGGGTTCGAGTCAATCCGTTTATGCCCGAGTCAAGTCGGGTTCGACCTGAACTCGACCCGTTGACCCAAATTGACACCCCTAGTTAAGAATTTGGTGGTTATTATATATTTAGGTCATACATGTGATTTAATTTTATCACTCGCTATGTTACAGTGGGTAAAGTCCCCGAATAAGTGTTGGTTGTAGATTGAATCAACTGAATCATATCTACCTCAATCAAACCTTATGCTCGATTGAGAGGGTTATCGTGGGGCACGACAATTAGCCCAAAAATGAGAAGACCGCCTGTTAATCTCATTAAAAATTTTGACATCAATGACAATAATCGACATTTTTGTATTTTTATGTTTGATGTAACTGTTAAGTATGTTGTTATTAAGGGCTCGTGTACTTTCATTTAAACACCATGGCTTTTTAATCCAGTACTCATTTATATGTACTTAACTTTTAAAAATAAGATCTATTTATTTTCCTTTCATCTTTATCATTCATCTTTTTAGAAATGAATCTCAAGATTGTAGTTCATGTGGCTCTGTAAATCTGCACAACTTTCCTCTCTTGTTCTTTTGTCTGATTTTGCACAGTAATGTCCAATGCATAGAGGGTATTGCAGCTAGTAATGTGGTCTTCCAACTTGTCAACTATTTCGGCAATGTCGTCAACAAAAGAATAACCACTGCAGGCGAACCACTGGTTACAAGCATGCTAACGACATTGCTAAAACTTGAACAACCATGCTGGTCATTGTTTAATGATAACCTTGAGTCCACAGCCAAGTTAGAAAAACATGTTTGTCAATGGAAAAAACACTCTCCCTAATCTTGGATTAAAGAAAAAAGGGAAGCAAACTCTGACATCATTTAAGATCGACGGAACACAGAGGTGGCCATCATCCGATCTGGATCTAATATTGATAGAATGCAGATTCTTCCTATAATATTTGGCTAATGAAAAAAATATTCTGACCTATTCTTTGTCTTTTGTCTCCTTCCATTGTTCCCTTCCCGTTCGCCTCGCTACTGCAAACAGTTGAAGGGAAGGGGAGGCTTTCTGTTTGCAACAACCGCCTCTACAACATGCACAACGTGACTCCTTGTATAGCACACTTCGTGGGAACCACGAATCTACAAGTAGTTACAGCATGGGGGATTGCAATCTGTAATGCAGAGTTGTTCCGTCTGTTATGGACAGACTTGCGAACATAATATGTGAAGCAAGTTTGACAAGCAAAAACTACCAAGTTTCACGCGAGTTGGCGATGCAACCGGAGGAAATGGAAGCAGCCATGGGAAAAGTGGAGTGGAACTCATATATGGCGGCATCACAGGAACTGTGGTGATTTTACCTGAAGTTCCTGGTGTTAGAGCAATTTTTTTTTTCAATAAAGCTGTAATATGGCTTTATTTGATAAAAATAAAACATTCACGTGAATTGATTTTAATACATTTCTAATGAGGAATCTTATCTTTTTCTAGGATTTTATCAAAGTGCTGAACAACATATAAGACAAAATGTAATAAAGCGAAAAGTGGATAAATTAATAAAATTAAACATTTAAGTCGATGGAATTATGGCTTTGTATTAAATAAGAATTTTATCGCATAGTAATAATTAGTAATGACTTAAATACTTCTAATTGGATAGAAAGTATTTAACAAGTTGAGCAATTTTTAGATTAAAGAGAAGAAAAGACACGAAAATATCTGAAATAATTCATGATCATCTTTAAACCGGGACGTGCCTGTCAAAGTCCTGATAATGCATTGATATGTGTTTGATAATTAATAAGATAAATGATTAAAATATTTAATATTGAACTCATAAATTAAGAGACTCTTTTAAGGCACTCTTTTTTTTTTTACTTCTTTGATTGATTAAATTTTACTTATTTATTTGCCAACAATTTGTCTAATGGCAGTCTCTGAGCTTAATGCAAAATTACGAGTTATGCCACTGAACTAAGAATTGCGGCATATGCAGACATGCTACAATTCTAAGAACTTTTTTTTTAAATATTTTTTTCTTCATAGGTAATAAGTCAAGAAACAAGATTCCATGCTGGCAAACCAAAAATTTAAATTATTTGCTTTATTTGCTATTGTGCATTTAACTTAACATTAAATTATATTGTGTTAATAATTAAACATCCTTTGCTAATTGTCTTAGAAAGTTTTTTAATAACCCAATTCAACCACCCCTATTGGGCCGTTTGTAAGCCATCAATGATCAACTCAAATGGGCTTTTCATTGGATTAATCCTTATCCCAACCAATTTAAGTCAGCACAATACTAATAAACCCATTACATCAAAACTCAAGCTTTTCAATAGATATAAGCTCATCCCAATTAGTCTTGGCCTTACAATGACTGTAGGCCCCATCCTAACCTCAAACTCGAGTTCTCTCTCATGCTGAGAAGCCCAGAAATCAAAATAAAAAACACTAATTAAAATCATACAAATAAAAATTCTCACATGTCCTAGAGAAACTACTTCGAGTCTAGTAAAAACTCGTAAACAACTGCTAATCATGCATGTCTCGGAGCTCATGTTAGCCATGCCTAGTACATTTGAACTACAAACAACCATACTTTGTATCTCTGAAGTATTCAATGAAATTAAAATAAGTCCACAATTAAAATCAAATCCATCAATTAAAAGCAAGCAAACTACAAATCTCATGTCTTAGACACTTTTTTTTAGCCAAGCTAAAACTTATGCAACAGTTATAACTCATACATGTCTCAAAGCTTTTGCTGGTCATGTCACTTTTGAACTATAAGCGATCATTCTTTGTGCTTATAAAATATTCAGTCAAATTGGTATAATTAGCCCTCTCCCAACAAGCAAGTTGATCTCAACTTTGAAGGCACATATTTAATACCTATTTTTCAACCTTAGTATGCTCAGGATATCCAAGAGAAGGTAACAAAGCCATTCATTAGGCTCCTTGGATGTTATGGCTCATAGGCATTAGCATATATTATTTGTTGTTATAAATGATATGAAAGAATCATAAGATTTTAATCAAGTCTACCTCCAATACTTGAAAACTCTCCATTAAATTAAATTCAAGCTTAAATACAGAATTTAATCTAATACTAACCTAAGTAACCTCCTCAATTGAGAGTAATCTCACGTTAGTGGAAAGAGTAATATATTATGGGGGCTTATATCCATGGGAAATCTTGACCCTAGAGCTAAACAAACCCTGACAAAACATGAAGGAAAACCTACTTAAAATAAACCAAATCTTATCTACCAGAGAACTTCTCCTACATTTCCTCTTACACATTAAGAAGGCTCATAGGAAAGGGGTTTGACTTTTCCTAGGCAAACACTTACTAAGATTTTAATCATAAAAATTTATAAATTGATACTTAATTCAAAAAAGATGAGTAACTTATCCTCCATTCTCACCCAGCACTTTTGGACCTTTTGGGCCAGTAAATAAGTAAAGTTCTCACATATACTAAAAGACTGACGTAACATCTCAATAAAGAATATGAACCAAATGTAAATAATTAAAAGTTAGTAATATACTGTTAAATGCCAAACTAAGATAGTAATTAGCAGATGCTTACCTCTAGTGAATCCTTCATCTTAGGGAAAACCTGCATAAATTGATTATATTAACACATGAAAGTCTAGCTGAAATGTTTATTAAGCTAGGAAGTTTGAATATATTGAACATGAAACATGAAAAGGCCATGCATAATATAGTAAGAGTTTATACTCATTATATGTCATCAGCTGAATTTCAAGGTGTAGATACTAGTCCCAAATTTCAACTATTCACTATAATTACCATCTACAAAAATTAGTGCCGCACGTCCCAAAGAATAGCCCCCTTAGAAAATTATAGGGCCATTCATGGCTTACAAGGAAAGCCTATGTTGAACCACTCCAATCATTACCCTTCAAAAAACTGCTAAATAACTTTGGAAACTTGTTTGTAAACACTTCTTTCTAAATAAAAGCATTTTCAGATTTTATATTGCAAAGAGGGCGCCAGTTTGTAAGTATGACATCACTGCAGACGGTTTCTCTAAAGTTTCATGAAGCTCTACATAAAATGATAATGATTTCCTCTTCCAGTATTTTCTTTGCTTTACATCAATATCAATATTTTCTAAAGTTATAGTAACGAAGCCGTCCAAAAACATTAACATCACCAGGTTGCTCCGCCCTTTTAGGCAGAATATCTACCCAATTCTCTCAATTCATTCATGTTTGAAAAAAAATTGTGAAACTAGAGTACCTCAAGCTTTTTAAATAATATTTACATTGTTAGCTTTGGCCTGAAAGTTTTTCTACATAGATTTTTTATACTAATTTGTATTGCTCCTACTACCTCCTCCTCCATCACATGGCCAACCAATCATAAATAGTTTCCTACTACCTCATTCTTTTTTGTAACTTTTGCTCCCACAAACCTCTAATTTGATCACTGCTTCCGGTTTGTTCTCACTTCCACTACACAAAGTCGCTGTTGTAGCCTTCTTTGTTGCTAAATACTCCAATAAATTCAACTGAGCAATTTTGACTGTAATTCTATAAAATTTTAACTTTCATCTTCAGCTTTCGAGAACCTCTATATCATGGTTTAAATTTCAACAAAACCATTGAAACTGACCAATTTTCAGTTTCAATATATTTTTTACAAAAAACTGTCAAACACGTCAAAACAGACAAAATAGCTAAAACCCCAAAAGGCAATCAAAACAAATGAAACTCAATTGGAACCTTCAAAATATTAGGATAATAATGAAACTTTGAGCAAAATCACATGAAAATGGAGAACACATACCAAAAAATCACAATAATATGACACAAGTTTATATAGGTTGGGGAGATCCATTCATGTCCACGTATGCATGAAAATTAAAAAAATTAATTAAGTTTCAAAAGGGATACAAAGACAGATTGCACATTGTGCAAATAAAGACAAAGATATCGCTTTGTCTATGCCACCCACTAAGAGAAAATGCTTCTCCATCAGATGAAATCAAAACTAGCAACACCTCAAAAAAAAAACAGATCTCCCTCCTACAAGCACCTAAAAAAATTCCTCCCCTCTCTTTAGGTTGGTAGCCCCCTCTTGCAATTTGCATATGATTTTTGGATGATCTTTAACACCATGTAACCATCTCCTTATATAATGCTTAGACGTAGTAGGAAGCAAGCTTCTAAAGACTAGGTAGATGGTGGCAAGTAATATAATTGTAGGGGTTAGAGGGTGGTGGGTAGCAAATGTAAAACCCAAATTTGAGCAGGTATGAGTCACCTTCTGCTCAATTTATAAAATATCTGAAAATCCTAACATTTACAAAATTTCATAAATTTAATATCACTATGTTCTACTCGTTGAATGGAGCAATTCAACATATAGAACTATATTTCGAATTGCAAAAAGATAGGAAGTTAGGATATTAAATGTGAGTTGAAAATTTTTCCTAAAGTTTTAATTTATGTCACTGTTCAAATATGAGAATTATTGTAGCAAGGGTAATTATAGATTTACAGGTGGCTTGCATGCATTGTTTAGGAGGGTAATTAAGGAATTTAAAACGTCGCTATCCTCGATTCAAATAGTAGAAATCATCTATAAGCACAAAACCGACAGAAAAAAAAACTAGAAGAGAGATAAAAAAAACAAAAGAAATTTAAAACGTCGCTATCCTCAGAACAACCGACAGAATGGTTTCCTCACATGCATTGAAATGTAGGTTAAGTAAAGTATGTGCTTAGGGATAGCAAACCAATGGTCCACCATAGCAAGAAAGTCCAAACGTCCAACCAAACTCCTCCAGCAAATGCTCCCAATTCAGCCAACAAACATCACCTCAGTTCAAGAAGAAGTATACAAATGGAGTGGAACTTGTGTAGAGAAGAAAGAGGTAAGAAGCCCAGACGAAATAGAGAAGAAGAAGTGGACAAAGCTCTCAAGCTTTTCCAAGAAGAAGAAAACCCTCAGGTTTTTTAAGAGACTAAGCTCAATCAAATTCAACAACCTCTTCCTTTAAAAATCATCTTCTATATATAGGCAAGATAAGGGAACCAAACAACCATAAAACCTTCCAAATAAACCAAATAGATTTAGGGAAATGAAAGGCCAACAACCACCACATCAGTCCCCAAACGACACAGCAAAAACAAAGAAGAGGGCTCATGATGTAGGCAAAGGGGGGGTCAAATCAAACCCAAAAAATTTTGGTTTTGACTTCCCTTGAGCTTGCTAGCTCAATAAATTTTGAGCTGAATTTTTTAGCTCATTATGAGCCGGTTTTTAGTTCATTTATTGAACTAAAAGTTATCTCATTATTATCTAGGTTTTAGTTCATTTATTATCTTATTTATGTAGCTCTTTATTTATAGTTCTGTCTCTTAAAATTCTGAGTTTGTCCCTTAGTTTCCAAAATGACTTTTGGATTTCCTGTGTTGGCTATTTTCCGTGCTTGGCTCCTTGGCTTCCTCGGTTGGCTGTTGGGTGGCCTTTCCCGTGCTTTGGTGCCTCGGTTCCGTGCGGGCCTCTTTGGTTTCCGCGGCTGCATCTTCGGGTCCCTGGCTGGGAGGTTTCCCGTGGCTGATGGGGGGATTTTCCGTGGCTGATGGGGGGCTTTTCCGTGGCTTTGGTGCTTTGTTCTTAGCATAGAATTATATGGCTTTTATTTGCTTAGAATGTGAAAGGTTTTTGGGGCTGTTTGTATTCCCCTCTCATGCCTATATATATAGATGTTTTGGAATGTTTTACGATAAGTTTATGATGTGATTTTTGGAAAGAAACCTAAGGGTTTTTGGAAAAGCTTGCGAGCTTTGTCCACTTTCTTCCTCTATCTCTTGGGGAGACTTGCGAGTTCTTTCCACCCTTCTTCTCGGCTTCTAACCTCTTTCGTTTCTCCGCAAGTTTACACCCCACCTGTATCCTTCTTCTTCTGGAAAGCAAGTTTAGGGCATCTTGTTTGAGTCAAGTTTGTAAGAGTCTTGTAAGTCGTTTTATTATATAAAGTTGTGGTTTATATAATTTGTGTCTTTTTGAGTATTTTTATGTTTTTATTTTGTTCCTAGAAAGAGTTTCTTTTCTGATAAAAAATTTGGGGCCCTCTCCCAAATTTTTGATTGCATCATTTGGTATCAGAGAATTTCTTGGGGGGCCCTCTCCCCAGGGATTTTTGCTCGTATCATATTTGGTATCAGAGCAAGTTAGAAAGTCCTAGGTTTATGAGTCAGTTTGTCGTATGCGTCTTGATGTCATATAAGTTTAGTTTGTGAGGTCAAATAAATCTTGGTAAGTCATAGTAGTCTTGTGAGTCATAAGTAGTTATTGGTAGTCAAATCTAAAGCCAACTCATCGGGAGATGAGTTCTCAAGAAGAGGAATCTGATATAAGCAAACTCAAAAAAATTTGATTTTGACTTCCCTTGAGCTTGCTAGCTCAATAAATTTTGGGTTAAAATTTAGCTCATTATGAGCCGGTTTTTAGTTCATTTATTAAACTAAAAGTTATCTCATTATTAGCTAGGTTTTAGTTCATTTATTATCTTATTTATGTAGCTATTTATTTATAGTTTTGTCTCTTAAAATTCTGAGTTTTTCCCTTGGGTTTCCAAAATGGCTTTTGGATTTCCTGTGTTGGCTGTTTTCCGTGATTGGCTCCTTGGCTTCCTCGGTTGGCTGTTGGATGGCCTTTCCCGTGCTTTGATGCCTTGGTTCCGTGCGGGCCTCTTTGGTTTCCGCGGCTGCCTCTTCGAGTCCCTAGTTGGGCGGTTTCCCGTGGCTGATGGGGGGCTTTTCCGTGGCTTTGGTGCTTTGTTCTTAGCATAGAATTATGTGGCTTTTATTTGCTTAGAATGCGAAAGGTTTTTGGGGCTGTTTGTATTCCCCTCTCATGCCTATATATATAAATGTTTTGGAATGTTTTAAGATAAGTTTATGATGTGATTTTTGGAAAGAAACCTGAGGGTTTTTGGAAAAGCTTGTGAGCTTTGTCCACCTTCTTCTATCTCTTGGGGAGACTTGCGAGTTCTTTCCACCCTTCTTCTCAGCTTCTAACCTCTTTCGTCTCTCCGCAAGTTTACACCCCACCTGTATCCTTCTTCTTTTGGAAAGCAAGTTTAGGGTGTCTTGTTTGGGTCAAGTTTGTAAGAGTCTTTGTTTGTAAGTCATTTTATTCTATAAAGTTGTGGTTTATAGAATTTGTGTCTTTTTGAGAATTTTTATGTCTTTATTTTGTTCCTAGAAAGAGTTTCTTTTGTGATCAAAAATTTGGGACCCTCTCCCAAATTTTTAATTGCATCAGCTCACGGGAACCAAGAAGGAATTCCACGGAACCATGCAGACAGCCGCGGAATCGAGCAGATAGCCGCGGAACCGAGAAGCCAGTCATGGGAACCAAAGGGGCAAAAGCATGGGAAATCACCCAGCATAAGAAAATGAGAAGACAAAGGGTAGGAGAAGAGGCAAGTCCACTCCAAATTGAATCCTTGAATTAAAGCATACCTTTTTGGAATAATGAACTAGGAAGCTCAATAAATCTCCCAATAAATGAACTAAACTTCAGCTCAACATTAATGAGCTAACAACTTAGAGAATAAAGCTCAACACCAATAAACCA